CCGTTTGACAGCTGATGCTGGCTGTCAAACCGGCTTTTACGCAAAACAGGCGGGAGGCAGCAAACAGCTGCGACCGACGAAATCGCCTGCCACCGGAAGTCCCAGAATATATAAATATTGTTCACATTTTGTTTTACAGAATTTTAGTCATATTGAGTGTGGACATTCTGAATTATATGTTATTTTAAATATAGTTGCTGCAGAATATTTGTGCTTACAATAGTTTAGCTCTGAATCACAACCTGAGTATCTGTGTAAACCTGTATTTATCCATATAATATCCAAGGAATTTTTAATTTGGATAATTTTTAAATCATTTATTAAATCATCTCAATAGGTGATTCTAAGAATACCAGATATGTTGTTGATATTTAAAAGATGAGGAGTTTGTTGGTTGCTACTGCTACTGGGTTGTTTCAGTAATTTATATCAAATTAAAGATACTTTATTTATGTAAAAAAAAACATGGGCAAATAGAATTAGCATAGATTACAGAAAATCCTACCAGTAGATGAAAAAAAATATTTTTCAGTCAATTGTCTTTCTGAATGGTAATGATGTTATTATACAAATCTTTTTTGCCTAAACATTTTTCTTTGTAACAGGTCATGTTTTTAGGTGAAATTGAAGAAATTCTGGATGTAATAGAACCAACACAGTTCAAAAAAATACAAGAGCCTCTTTTTAAACAGATAGCAAAATGTGTGTCAAGTTCACATTTTCAGGTATAATTTTAGATTTTCAATATTTAAACATAGGTACTATCCAGTCTCATTATCCTGATATTTTAAATGTGTATTTCAGATTGCAGAAAGGGCTCTGTACTTTTGGAATAATGAATACATTCTTGGTCTGATTGAAGAGAACATTGATACAATTTTGCCAATTATGTTTGGCAGTTTATATAAGATCTCCAAAGAACACTGGAATCCGTATGTACTTCTTACTGTTTAGTCTTTTAAAATGCCTTTATGTGTTGTGGATTAGTTTCGGGCTTAAATCCTTTGGTTTGTAGGGCACAAATACCATGTTAAAAGAATGCACTTGTGTATATGAAAATGCATGAGGAAACAACTTTGCACAGAACTGCAAATGCTGAATCATTGATACTGTTACCTGTAAGATGTGTTTTGAAATGATTTATTATACATTGTCATAAAATCATAAAGTTGGAAGTGACTTCAATTCATCTAGTGCAACCCTCTGCTCAGTACAGGATCCATTAGAGCATTTTCTGATAGATGACTATCCAATCTATGTTTAACAACCTCCAGTGAAGAAGATGCCTCTTTATGAGGCAATCTATTCCACTGATTTATAGTTCTTATGATAGGAAAATCCACCTCATATCTCTTATCTGAATTGACTTCCTTATACTTTCACCCTAGGGCTCTGATAGTTTCACACAAGGCAAAAGAGAAGAGATATCATCTAATGACATATTTCTCCTAAATCTGCTTTTACACAGGCTAAATCTATTCCGTTCTTTTAATTATTCTTCATAGGATTTCATTTCCAGTCCATATCACCTTGGTACCATCCTCTGAACTTCTTCCAGTTTATGGGTTTCCTGTTTTAGAGTTCAGTGACCAAGCAGAATAATGTTGTGAGTGGGATCTCATCAAGGCAAAATAGACTGGGACAACTGATCCCATGATCTCTGTAATCTGTACTCCTGTCTATATATTCCAAAATAGCATTTGCATGGTTAGCAACTGCATCAAATTATTATACTATTGTTTAATTTGTGATCTGCTTGAACACCCAGATCCTTTTCATGTTGCTACTGCCAAGCAGATCTCCCCCATTGTTGTGTTTTTGTTTTGTTTTTCTCCTTAGTTATAGGAGAATTTTTTATTTGGATTACAGTTTAAACCTCTGTAGATTTTTTTTTTTAAAAATCTTTCTCTTCTGAAGTGTTTTGTGCTAGCTGCAGATTTGGTACTCATTCCCTCAACCCCCACCCAGTCACTTGGTTGAATAAATAAATAAAAACTAAACAAACTTCTTCCAGTTCAGTAATAAAAAGGTTGGTCCAAAGACAGATTTGTGGCACTCCATATTGTGCTGCTGTCCAGATTGATAAGGAGACATTTATGAGTGGCTATTCATCCAATTATAAATCCATGCAACAGTGATATCATCTAGCCCAGGGATAGGCAACCTTGGCTTTTTTATGACTCGTGGAGTTTAACTCCCAGAATTCCTGAGCCAGCTGGCTCAGGAATTCTGGGAGTTAAACTCCACAAGTCATAAAAGAGCCAAGGTTGCCTACCCCTGATCTAGCCCATATTTTAAGTTTTACTGAGGATATGAAAGGCTTTGTCAAATGCTTTGCTGTAGTCAATGTACAACTTTTCAGCCAAAATGCAATAAAATGTTACTTACAGAGAATACAGGTAATCCCCGAGTTACAAGCTTTCGAAGTTATGTGATGAGCGCCCCCTAGTGCTTACGAGCAAGTCCCAAAGTTACAAATATTGCAGCACCATGGTAGTAGTTCTCCCTTACGAGCGACCACAGTGGCTCTGCAACATTCATCCTATTTCCCCCCACTCCTCACAACTGCTTCCCCCTCCCTTCCTCACTTACCACGCCAGACTCACTTACCTTGCAAAAATTGTCTCTGCCGTGGTTTCTTTCCCTTTGAGGGAGAGGAGAGTCGGCTTGGAAATGTTTTCCATGGTGAAAATGGAGTCCGTGATCTCGCACGAGTGTTTGAAGTTGCGCCAAATCACGAACCTCAGAAACTTTCATTCTCTATGCGAAAGGTGCCTGTCTCCTACTCCTGCCCCCAACTCCTTTCTGCCTAACAGCAAGCCTGAAGCTTTCAACTGAGGGAGAAGGCCAGGCCCCTTGCACCCGCCTCCAGCCCGCCAGAACTCACTGCGCTGGGGGAGAAAGTGACCCTGTTGTCCTTGGAGCCCTCCAAGCACCCCGGAACGGAGGCTGGAGGAGGCTTCTGCATGCCTCTGGAGGTTGGATCCAGCCCTCTACGAGTTTTCGAGTTATGAGTGGAATGTGCAGGCTCCATTACACTTGTAACTTGAGGACTACCTGTAGTTAAAATTATGACTGCAGCCAACTACTTAAAAATATATCTGAAACAATTAAGAAGCTCAGTATGGTATGTAGGGTTATGTAAACAAGTTTCAAGTCACTGACTTGGGACTCTTCTCTGTCCCTAAACTCTTATCCACAATATCTGCTGGCAGAGTTTTTTTCTGAGAATGGACATCAATAGATTCATTCTCAGAGTTAAAAATCTAATGGAAGCCTTGTTAGGAAGGCATTCTATAATCAAATTAATGTTATGTTAAAATTAATCAAATGTTTGTTATAAATCATAAAGGAATTTATGTTAATGGGAACTCACTCTCAAGGAAATCATTTTGCTACTCAGATAATCTTATCCCTTGATTTTTCATTTATTGCCAAGCAAATTTAGTTGAAATACTAAATATAGGAGCCCTTATGAATATAATTTTGCATTTTGTACTTTAGATTTGGGCAGCACCCTTTGGGCATGCTCTTGACTTTGACTTAAATTAGATTGTAATTTTGCTGCTATTTATTATGATAATAATTCCATCACACTGTTGCTTTAAGTTTGAATGAAGACAAACAAGTCTAATGTCCATGCTTTGAGTTTGCAGACCCCATCATTTCAAAACTAAGTGCAATTGTTTCTTTTATGTAAAATGGTGGCAGAATGAAAGCAGAAGCTAGATAATCAGACTAGATGATAGAATATATCTCTTAACAATACTTTTGCAACTTACCCTGTTGTTCTAGGACCATTGTAGCATTAGTATATAATGTGCTGAAAACACTGATGGATATGAATGGGAAACTATTTGATGAACTCACAAGCACTTACAAAGCAGAAAGACAAAGGTACACTTTTCCAATTTGATTACAAATCATGTGCCTGAAACAGTCTTCCAGATTAATGCTGATTTGACATTAGAATAAAAAAATAGTTTTGCAAATGAATGATCTCTCCCTACTATTCACATTAACAATGTTTATCCATTTCTACTAAATAAATGCATCCCTTCCTTAACCTCGTTTCTTCTGAGGGGCTTTGCTTAGGATACTTAGCCTTGTTTTGTACTTAGCACCTCTTCCTGCTACACATCCAGTCCTTTCTTTTTCACCTTTGCTTTTGCGAGGATTTGTGCTTATACTTGAGGTTTTCTGACTAAGGGCTGTTTCAGTTTTTCTCTTGCCATGTAATAAGGTACAGATTCTTTCTTTCTTTTTACTAACCCATTGATTGTAGTTAATCCACCTAGCTTTCCCCCCAGGGGCATCTTACCAACTGTATGTTGAGGCATCAGCTTGCACATCCAAATAAGATGCCTGCATCAGCAGAAGCTTTGGGACATCTCCACCTGCTATTAGAGGGGTAATTAGCAGTCACATGGGACACAACCTTTCCCAGGTTACCTTTGCTTCAGCATTTTTTTTTCTGTTGAGATTTTGTTGCTCTGTATGGCAATGTGCTTCTGTTTGTTTTTACATATATACAGGTGGGCTTTCATTGAGCGTATGGAAGGAAATGTTGGTAAGGAAGTAGCCCAAATAGTAATACAGAGCTAATCTAATTCAGGATGGAGCTTTTCTGCACTGTAGCTCCACACCAAATTGTTTGAAAAGTTGTAGTCGTCTTGTTTAATAGTGCCACTTTTTTCTCCTCTATCCTTTAGCAAATTCCTTATAAATTAAAGAAGAAAAGACACATTTAGGGTTGTGCTAGTAGATCTATAACACGGGTGTCAAACTCGCCGCATCACGTGACGTGTCACAACATATCACAATGTTTTTTGCATTGCCGGAGTTGGGGTGGGCGCAACCTCATGATGCAACCGGCCCACGGGCTGGCAGTTTGACATCCCTGATCTATAATTTATTAGGTCCTTACCAATCAGACTTCACTTCCAGGAAGAAATGAAACACATTCTCCTGCAGATGTTTCCCTGTTCGTGAAGCCTAGAGCAGTATGTAATGTAAATGTTAGAGGATTGTTTCTAAAACTCAGCAACTTTTAATATGTGTGGGACTTTAACTCCCAGAATTCCTCAGCCAGTTACAGAGGATAGCCTGGTATAGGCTGTCAATCTGACCAGCCCTGATCTAGAGACACTTTGTTAAAAACTGGTATCTTAAATTAAGGGACATTTTTAAAAGATTTTCAATGTATTCAGAGTATCTTTTTAAAAACCTTCATGCTTTACTTCCTATTGGAAAAAAAATCTCAGTGTGGTCTACTGTTAGCATAGCGTTCTGCAATGCTATGGATTAAAGGCAAAAAAATATACTGTGGATTGTGTAGGGGACATGCACAATGTCTTGTCTGCAATTCCTTAAACTAAACACACCTGTTCCTGGAATCATAGTATGTTCCTGAGAAGAGATACAGCTACAGGTAGACCTGCCTGCCTTATGGAGTGACCAAAGTTATGACAGTACTGAAAGAAAANCATATCTTTGCTATTAGTCAATTAGTATGCATTGTCCTGACCTTTTCCCCTTTTTTCACCTCAAAGTGGATATTGGAGAGGAAGGGCATTACAAGAGGAGAAGCTGGCACACAAAGGGGAATACACATTGAATGGAATGCATTAGTGATGAGCCGTGTTGGTGCAGTGGTTAGAATGCAGTACTGCAGGCTACTTGTGTGGCTGCCTGCAGTTTGGCAGTTCAATTCTCAAGGTTGACTCAGCCTTCCATCCTTCTGAGGTTGGTAAAATGAGGACCCAGATTATTAGGGGCAATATGCTGACTCTGTAAACCACTTAGAGAGGGCTGTACAGCACTGTGAAGAAGTATATAAGTCTTAAGTGCTATTGCTGGTGCCAGTTGTTTGCCCAGTACACTTGCAGCCCAGCCCCTGATGTGCTAGGCAAATAGACAATACCAATATATATTCCCCATTGTGTGCCTGCTAATTCTTGTAATCTTATCCTCTCCAATGAATATAAATGCATAATTCCCTTCTTGCTAATATCCCAACACTCCGTGAGCATCCTAAAGGATGGAGAAGTAAGGAAAAAAGTAAAATTGCAAGCAGAGTTGCTTTTCACTTAGTAACTAAGATGCTGGTCACAGCTGTGATCACTAAACAAGGACTACTTATATTGAAAGAAGTTGCAAAAAAGGTTCTGTTTGAGCACCTCTGACGCACTCTGAAGCACTGAATGTTGTTCTTGAGCATCTATAGAGAAACTTTCCAACTCTTTACTTTTTTGAGTAAAATACCAGAAAAATCTACTGGAACAGCTGAACTTTATATGGGCTGATCAGACTTAATTTAATTAATGGCAGTTGTGTGCTGACCACTATTTGACATCAGTTTGAAAGTGATTGGTTAATTCTGAACACATCCCTACTTATAAGAGTGTGACTTATGCAGCCACATTATTCTAGTTTTCCCCCCCTTAGCAAATTTCAGTTTGTTTTTAATTGAATTGTACAGCCAATACGTTATATTAAAGGTGGAAAAAATTCTGAAGTGATGTATTTTGCTCTGATTTTTTTAACATCTCAAAAATCTAGTATTTTAATAGCGATATATAGACTTTATGTGGCTTATTCAAGGAGTATGTTTTAGCAACAAATCCAATCTTTTAAAACAGAATTTTTAAAAAAGGGAACGTAAACAGCGAAGTATTCTCTTATGCTCAAGACACACTGTTTTTTCTGGCTTAACCTTGAGAGGAATACTTTGAAAATTCAATATATAATTTTAGCAGAAAGCCCTAAAATTAAAATTTGTTAAAATAATTGGCTCCATTCTTTGTCTAAGCTGTTTTTGGACAGGAAGCAGTGGTGGGATTCAAATATGTGAACAACCGGTTCTTTGTGTGGATGCTGCTTCCGGAAGACCATTCTGGGCCTGGGCAACAAAAAATTAGCTACCGGTTCTGCTGAAGTGGTGCGAACCGGCTGAATCCCACCACTGATAGGAAGATTAGGTAACAAGCAATTTAGACATGCTCCAATCTAAAAGTCACCCTCCCCCCCCATTATAATGGCAAGAAATGCAACCTCCTTACCTTTAATAGTAATATCTATTTGTACTTTAAAAAGAAAATCATTTCAACACTCTTTGATTACTATATTTTGTAGCACTACTAGAGGTTATTTATTCTCATAAAACTTTAGTTATATTTTCTCATTACCTTTTTTATTTTTCTAAACTTTAGGTTCTTGTAAATACAGAGACGGGAGTGTTAAAAAAAAATTGCTAGTCAAACTATGATATTATTTAGCTCACTATTTTCTATACTGACTGGTACCAAACAGGTTCATGCTAGGATATTCAAGTTAATCTTTATGATATGTTTAGGATTTCTGATCATCTTTATTAGCTTCTTACACTCATAATGGTTAAGAATCTTTCACGTTTCTTTTTTTTTTTTACAGAGAGAAGAAGAAAGAATTAGAACGTGAAGAATTGTGGAAAAAGCTGGAAGAGCTCAGACTCAGCAGAACGTTGTCTAACCAGCCAAGTAATACCTCCTCCTCTCTGACAAATATACCAAATGATAGTGCCAAGTGAGTGTGAAAAAGCCTGTTTGTGAGGCATATCTTTTGTACACAGATTTTTTTTTTTTACAAAAAATGTAAAAAATGCAGAAGAGAAACCTCATCAGTATCTTTGAAATGGCCATCCCACCCACAAAATGTAAATGAAATTTTTTTGAATTGAAATACAGTAATTGAATGTGATATTATTTCTCATAGCATATTGTAAATTTGTCTCTAATCATTGCTATATTGTCAACTCTGACATCTCACAGAAAGGAATTTTATCATCCATGAAGTGTTTGATTTAATTATGGGAACGGTGAAATTTTGACTTGAAGTTTTTTTTTTCTTTTTTAATTGTGTTGCACTTAGGCATAGATGTCAGGCAGCTTACATTTTCTCCCTATGTGCTTTTCATAGTGCTGCAGCCTTTGGCTGAGACTCAGGAAGAGACTTCTAGCTTTACTGTTTTTCCTGAAATGAAACTGATAATCTAGTATCAAGTTGATGGGATTGACTCCCATGAAGCTTGGTGGGGTTTGCTTCTGAATAAACGTGTATCACTTGAGTTGAATTTGCCCATTACAATATCACGGGTCAGGCTATTTTATAAGAATGTTTAGTTTAGACAGATTAAGATTCAAAATTATATGAGGAACCTTTTCAAGTAGAAAAGACTTGTTACAGAGGTGGGTAGAGTGGGCTATATAAATGGATAGAGACAGGGAAAGGGAGTAAGATCAGGTTAGCTGCATTGGGCTTCTCCCTCAGATAATTGTAACTTGGACAGGACTTGGGCTGCATTATGTGTTTTGCTTCAGCAGTTACGTGAGCTCTGAATGAGGAAAAATTGTTAACTTTTAATAAAGAATTATTCATATAGTTCTTATGCTTCCTCTTAGAAAAGATTCAGTAATCATGTTTCTGTTCCCATAACTAAACATTGGAATCTTTCAATTTCAATCTATAGTTTGGCAATTTTTTGTAGAACCTAATTGATCTTGCTTTTTTCCCTACTTTTTACTTGTGTTTACTCCTGCCATGAACAGGGGGTTGGACTAGAACAGGAGTAGGCAACCTTGGCTCTTTTATGACTCGTGGACTTCAACTCCCAGAATTCCTGAGCCAAAAGAGCCAAGGTTGCCTACCCCTGGACTAGAAGACCTCTGAAGTCCTCTCCAGCCCTATAGATTCTATGATTCAACCTGGCCCTGCAGGATGGCCCAGCTGCTCCATTTAAAGCTTAGGCTGTGCAATTCCTGTGCAGATATGCAAGACAGCTCTCTTTGTGTTAAAGAAAAAGCAGTGCTTAAGATGGCAAAAAATGATTCTTAAAGTTTTGTCTGTTTTTACTTGATCAGTGGGGTGCTCTTTTGCAGATCTTTATATCAGAGTATCATTCCAATCTCTTAAATTTCAATTGTGTGGAAAATGGTTTTGTATTGAAAGACTGAGGGATTGAGCAGCATTCAATAAAGTCTTTATGTTTGTAATTAGTGCTGTATATTACCATTTTTGTAATTTAATAATTATAAATAGGAGAATGGTTAGATTGACGGGCTATTTTCCAGCAAAATATTAACATTTAATTAAAAGATTTAAATAATAAGATTAAAGCAGGTGGCAATTATCAAACTGAAATGAAGATAATTTGACAAAATAGATGTTGATACTCAAATTTTAGTTAGGCTTTTTGTAGAAAAAAAATGGATACTATCCAATTGTGCATGGTCAGCTGTATACTTTTGGGGCGGGATTTTTGTTACTCAGATCTGCTCCAAAATCCCACACACACACACACAACATTCCAAACTAGTTTTTAGGAGAGTGGGATAGGATGGGAAATTACAGGAGAAAAGTCAATTCATTCTACTTAATGGACATCATTTGTTTTCATCCAACATCAAATTGTTATGGCCCTCATCACCTCTTCATTAAAACAAGGTTCTATCTTTAATGCAGGAGATATTCACACTTCAAAATAAAATGGATGCCTAGTGCATATTCATCTTTATGTCTATAAATTAAATATAATAATAGCATTTTGAATTTGTATGGGAAACATTCCAAACATATAAACACAATCATGGGCCCGTTCATGCTTCACATGATTCAAAATAAAATACTATGGACTACACTTTACTATATTCTACCACCCTAAGGTAGCAGAAAACTAATGCAGAATTTAATGGTTAACATATTTTTAAGTAATTTTCTTCATCATACCACCATAATCTGCCTGGAGGTTTTAAAGAGGAGAAAAATATTTTAAGTAAGTATAAAATGAGTATCTAACCTAAATCTTTCTCATTTAAGGAATAATAATATAGTATTTCATTATTACGTGTTTTCTTTTTATTGCTTATGGATTTATGAGTAAATTTTCTATCTATAGGGTTTGGAAGAGGTCTGAACTTTATTATAACAGTATTAATATTTTAAGTAAGTGTATCACAGAGGTATATTTTATTGAAAAATCTTTAGCATAAGTATTATTTAATAAGAATGCTTGATAAAATTACTGTTTTCAATGTTTGGTTTGGTTTCAGTAAATAATAACTCTTGCTAAGACAAGAACTATTTTTAGATTTATTGTACTGTATTCTGTTAACAGAGGAGCAGGCAAACCACAATTGGCACATGGCGCCATATCCCCTTAAATTGGCAGCATATTGCATCATAGCAATAGCACTTAGACTTATATACTGCTTCACAGTGCTTTATAGCCCTCTAAGCAGTTTACAGAATCAGCATATTGCCCCCAACAATCTGGGTCCTCGTTTTACTGACTTCGGAAGGATGGAAGACTGAGTCAACCTTGAACAGGTGAGGATCGAAGGAATCGAACTCCTGGCAGTGTGAACAAAGCTAGCCTGCAATACTGCATTCTAACCACTGGGCCACCACGACTCTTCTAATCATCACAATGCTTCCATAGTAGTTATCAGATATCAACTGTCCTTTTTATAAAAAAGATTGTATCTACTTTTGTAACTAAAAGTCCAACACACAAAAGAGCTGAAATCCAATAGAGAATGTATTGTTTCAGATAGAAAGGGTAAGAAATCAAACTGTTATGTCCTCCAGCCAACCAATATTGATCAATCTCTCTAGTCATACTTTTGGGGTTAGTTGTTAATCGGTGGTATGTTCAATATACAGTCAGTGCATAAAGCTTTAACAATATGTTTCATCCCTTGGAGTGTGTTTGTCAGAGCAACAGCTGGAATGTAAGTGATACATAATGCTCAATCAGAATCCAATAAAGCGCTGTTCCCTCTGATTGGCAGCATATTCAGTTAAAGGCTTTGAAGCAAATGTCTTTGTCCCTGAGTTGATTAGTGATTGGACTCAACATTTGGGGACAGATTAACTAAACCTATTACTGGTGGACACTATATTTTAAATTCCCATTTTTTAAAAAAAACAACAACAACAACCCTACTTCATTCATACAAATTGTTTCTTTTTTACAGGAAGTTATTTTTTTTTCAGGAATATTCTTACCACTAAGTAACAGTTTGTAAAAGAAACCATATATTTAGAAAAGACTGCGGATTTATAAAGAGTCAAATCATTTTCTAAAAATTCCAAATATTAAGTTCAGTCCACCAAAGCAATTTGTCCTTCCATCAATGCAGTTTTCTTGTGTAAGACAGAAGACAGAAGTTGTATTGGTTTAATCGTCCTAGTTGAACTTCTCAGTGAAACAGAAATCTGTGAAGCACATTGTTTTCAACTTATATGGTTCAAGGCTTGAGTTTTTCTCTTGAGATGCCGTTTTCGGATTTTTATCATCCATTTCACACTCAGTTTGGCAAAATCGGCTGCTTTAAACAAAGCCAGGAATATACCACATAAAAGAGCAATCATGTTCCAAGGATTTGCAGTGACAATCTATGAAAATAAATTAAATTAATCATTTAAACTGTCGATTAAAGAGCTACTGTTTACTTTTTATTATGGAATGTTTTATAATGAAACACTTGGTTTATAATAAATATATTAAACTTCTACTTATGGTTACTTCTCCAAACAGACCAAGAGAAAAAGTTGCATTCAGTATCATTTTCCTTGTTTCATATTCACATGGCTAAGATTGAGAGTTACTGTTAATAAAGCAATATCTAAAGCTGGTTTATTGTTCGTGTCTATAGTGATGCTTAAAAGGTTATGAACCCTTTTGAATTGTCAATATTGGTACATATGATCTAAAATTTGATCAAATATGTGGCTTTGGATCAGTTTCCACAGTAAATAAAAGAACGAGTATAATGTTTTTGACGTATTAGTTTAATTTGGTTCTTTTTAACTAATTTGGGACATGTGTGAAGAGGTGATAACATCTTAAGTTATATTTATGCACAAATATTGAAAATTCAAAAGGATTCACAAATGTTTAAGCACCAGTGGATATGCCTACTTTTAAGATGTAATCAGATACAGGTAATCCCCGAGTTACGAGCATTCACTAACGCTTGTTCAAAGTTATGTGATGAGTGCCCCCTAGTGCTTACGAGCAAGTCCCAAAGTTACGAATATTGCAGCACTACAGCAGTCGTTCGCCCTTATGAGCGACTGCAGTGGCTCTGCAACATTCACCCTGGTACCTACCTACCCCCGCCCCGTGTCTCCCTAGGCACCAGGCCTTCAATATTCACCCTGTGAAGATTGAGATCTTTCACTTTCTTGGCTGCTCCAAGCCTTCTGTGCGTTCGCAGAGAATGGAGGCCTAAAGTAACGCAAGCTTATGCGAGATCAGTGGGGTGAGATTTCATGCTACTGATCTCGCGTGATCTCATGGTACTTTAGATCTCTGTTCTCTACAACAGAATGGAACCAAAGCTAGGGAACGCTTCCTCAGCTCCCCGCAGCCCGATCAGGCCTTGAAAACGCCTCTGGAGCCCGCATCTGGCCACGGGGGGGGGGCATGGAAGTATTCCCTAGCCTCAGATCCAGGCGGCAGCAGCCTGGAAAAGGCCTCCAGAGCCCAAATTGGGCCGCAGGGGGGCACGCGGAAGCGTTCCCCCGCCTCAGATCTGGGCAGCAGCAGCCTGCAAAAGGCCTCCGGAACCTGGATCAGGCTGGGGGAGGCAGAAGCATTCCCGGCCTCAAATCCGAGTGGAAGCAAGAACCACGGCAGAGAAGAGACGGATCTTTTCCAGATGAGTCCAGTACGGCAGGAAGGGAGGGGGAAGCATGCGGTATCTTAGTGGGTCGGGGAGGCCTTGTTCCATCACTAGGCCCTCCGTGGCCTTCCCCACCCTGAGATACCTCATGTTCACTTAATGAGCTGCATGCGTTTTAACAAGCAAGGGGGTGATCTCGTTCGAGGTACGAGATTCACTCTACGAGTTTTCGAGTTACGAGTGGAATGGGCAGGCTCCATTACACTTGTAACTCGAGGACTACCTGTGTACATTTTCCATGGAATAAGATGCCATGAAAGCAAAGGAACATCCTTCTAAATCAGTGTTTCTCAACCTTGACAATTTTAAGGCATGTGGACTTCAACTCCCAGAATTCCACAGCCAGCAATGCTGGCTGTGGAATTCTGGGAGTTGAAGTCCACATGCCTTAAAATTGTCAAGGTTGAGAAACACTGTTCTAAATAGACATATTACTGCTAAAATGTTATGTTTCCAGAGTTATTATATTTCAGACACGTCACAGTGTACAGCAGCAATCAAATTTTTCCTGCCATTACTTCACTCTTTGATAAACCTGCATCTGGGAGTCTACATAGGATGCAAATTTCTAACTATTCTGATTACATTCTAAGGGAAGGTACATTCCAATTAACAACCATTCATTTAGTGACCAAAGTTGCAGTGACAATGAAAAAAATTGATTTATGATTGTTTTTCACACTTAACATCTCTTGCAGCATCCCCATGGTCACGATTAAAATTCAGATGCTTGGCCACCGGTTCATATATATGAGTGTTACAGTGTCCTTTCATATGATCACCTTTTGTGGCCTTCTGACAAGCAAAGTCAACAGGAAAGCCAGATTCACTTAATGACCGTGTTACTAACAACTGCAGTGAATCACTCAACTGTGACAAGAAAGGTCATAAAATGGGGCAAAACTCATTTAACAACTATCTTGCTTAGCAACAGAAATTTTGGGCTCAATTGTGGTTGTAACTCAAGGACTAGCTGTATATCATCTTGAAAATAGTGGATCTCCTATTTGTGCTCCTAATTTGTACTTAGGCTGGCACTTTACATCCATGCAGAAATGATCCACATTTACTCACATCTTGAACTTCCTGAATAAAAGGATCTTTCCATTCAAACACCACAAAAAATAGCTGGTCAGTATCAGCTTTTATCCTCCGTTCAATGTAGTTAACCACGCTAATCTGACGGAATAAAGAGAAAAAATAGGTGATTATTCATATATAACATACCAAAACACTTTTTTAAAAAGCCCAAGAATCCAAATGCCTTAGAAATAAAAATAAAATTGACAGCCTGCTGCTGTGGGACTAAGTTGAGGAAAAAAATAGGAACTTACCAAGATGTGTAGGAATGAGGCATGCAAACAACACTGGCTTCTAAAAGGTAAGTAAAATGGGGGAAATTCCCAAAATGGCTGAAGTGTGGAATATAGCCAGCAATAAAACCCTTATTTTTCAAAAAAAGCAAAATGGGATAAGCTAAAATTCATACAGTACAATATCTTCAAGAAAGGCTACATTTTTTTTTCTTTTACAGATAACTGATGGGGGAAATTGCTAGAAAAATTCTTGAGCAGAAATCTTAATGATCAGTAGGTCACAGATCTAATTTCTCAAATGTATTTCATTATGAGTTTAATGCATTTCTTAATGGTGGATCATTTTTCTTTGCTATTTGTTGCCTTCAGATTGCAGAAAAACAGCCAGTACTGTAGTTGTCAGGACCAGCTTTACCATTAAGCAAAGTGAAGGGGCTGCCTTAGGGGCAGATATTGGGGAATACGCAGGGCACATATGCTAGTCCATCTGAATGGGGGAAACTGTGCTGTGGAACCTGCCTACTATCCCAAGCATTGTGAAAGATACCATCCTATTGTCAGTGCTGAAGATTAAGTTATCAGTTTAGCTAATTTGTGTATCATCTTCAGTTTGGTGTCTGGCATAAAAGTTCCTTAGGAAATCCCTGAATTCCAAGTTAAAATTGTGATTTAAGTATCTAGGGCAAGATTAGGAAAAACATATCTATCTGAATACTTTGCTGGTTGATACTTATAATTAGCAAATAAATTCTGCAAAGTCTTCAGTGTGTACTTTTCCAACCTTTAGTGGTTCACTTTTTCACAAAACTCAAGACAATACTCAAGCCAGAATCCCAGCTATTTGTTCAACAATAAAAGCTGTGTGGTGAGAAAGCCTCATGAGACATCATTACCTCCTGCCTAAATTCGACTGCCATCAAACCATTTTCTTCTTTAGTTTTCACCAAAGACATTTTGACCCAAGTTCGGAAACCTCCAGAGAATTTCCAACTGGAATAGGAGCTCTCACACACCTTCATAAATTCCGACTTGTTTGGACTGTATTGGGAAGAAATGTTATGTTTAGACAGATTATTATGGTTTACTATGAAGCTTTGTTATCTTGAAGAAAAAAATGTGTAGTGCTCCTGGCTTTATAGATTGTTGCTCTGACTATGATCTTCCGTCAAATCTCTCATTTCAGGTTTCCCAGCACGTTTGTAATACTTTTCTTGGAACCAGTTAAGATTACTTATTATCACCTAATATTTTAAAAAAATATTTGTTATTGTTTGTGTTATTTGGGAATCTCCATGTTGTAAAGCTTTTCAGTTTTAGCTTTATTTCAGTTATGTTGTTCTTTAAGGTGAATGAAATGATAACATAATTTTGGCAGTTACTTGCAGTAACAACCAACACAGAGCAGGTCAGTATTATTTGCACCCTGGGGATGCAAAAGTAAAGCCATGGGCATCTATGGGAATGGGGCAGCAAATAACAAAAAAGAATTGTAATGCAAACCACAAGGCTTATTATTGATGTCAGAATGCAAGTACAAAAGTTGATGTTTGTGTTGTAATATACATTCTGTCATTTTCTGATTTTTCACACTTTGAACTCACATTTATGGTGAGGAGCTGAAGCTAAGAGAATTCTGTCTTGCCCTAAGAACAGCTACTGAGGTTTTAAAGAAATCCAGAATTATTGCATTATTTATCATTTAAACTATAGTTACGCCTTACAATCTTTCCTAGGGCTTTCCAAATATTTTGGTCCTACAATTCCCCTTAGTCCAAGGCAAGATGAACTCTGGTGAAGAAAGGCTAGGCCTTTAGCTCAGAGCCTGTGGAGGAGCCCATTCTGAGAAGAACTGCTATATATACTACTTCATCATCATTTTAGCCATTCTCTATCCCAGTGGTTCTCAACCTGTGGGTCGGGACCCCATTTGGGGTCGATCGACCATTTCACGGGGGTCGCCAAACAAGGCTGTCCGCCATTTTTTTGTCCGCCATTTTTTTCCCCTTTTCCGGCGGGTGCCTTACCTCCCTTGGGCCGGGCCAGCTGGTGGTCGGCCTGCTCCGTCTCTGCCGCTTGCCAGCTACGCCTTGGCCGGCGCAGGGGGGGCGGAACCACGCATGCGTGGCGCTCCCGGGCAGGGAAAGTCCTTGACTTACAACTGGTTTAGTCCTCGACTTACGACCGGTTGGGGTCACGGCATTAAAAAGGTTGAGAACCACTGCTCTATCCACTGCAGAACGAAGGCCTCCTCCGCATGTTTTCAACCAATACAGTCCTGAACTTTCTTTTGCCAATTGGGCCCACAATACTTGCTAATCTTGTCAATCCATCTTGTTTTAGGTCTCTTTCATGGGCGCTTTTTATCAAGTGGAATCCATTTTATGACTGCCTTGGTCCACCTAACATCAGTTCTTCTTGCTGTGTGACCACTTCCATTTCATTTACTCTCTTTTTTATATATTTTATTGAGTTTTTATAGTTACAAATCTTTAGTGCTGAATAAACAACGTGTTGTCTGTGTATACATATTTACCATTGATAATAATACAATTTCCATTTCTACTCTATTCCGCTTTTCTAGCCATTTATAAAAATTATCCCATGTTTGAAAATATTCTGTATCTTCTTTCCCTTTCATTTTCAATGTAAGCCTATCCATTTCTGCACAATCCAAAATTTTCCTAATCATATCTTCTTCCGATGGTGTTTCTTCGTTTTTCCAATACTGTGTAAATGTAATTCTCACTGCTGTTAATACATGTAATATTAAATATATATATTTTTGTTATAGTTCTCTATAATTATACCTAGAAGAAATAGTTCTGGCTTAAAATCTACATGCTTTCTTAATATTTTCTGTAACCACATGTGTATTTTTGATCAAAATTCTTTTGCTTTAGGGCATGTCCACCAAAGGTGATAGTACGTGCCTGGCTTTTGCCTACATTTCCAACAATTACTAGAGATGTTTTTAAACATTTTTGCTAATCTTGCAGATGGTAAATGCCATCTATAAAACATTTTATATAGATTTTCTTTTTAAGTAGCTGCCCTTGTTATTTTATAGTTTCTTTCCCACAAGTTTTGCCATTTTTCTAATTCTACATTGTGTCCAAATTTTTTTGCCCAAGTTGTCATTGTTTCTTTAACTTGTTCATCTTCCATCTTCAAGTTTAACAAAAGTTTATAAAGGTCTTCAATCAATTTTTCATCTGATGACAGTAGTATCTGGTGAAAGACTGTTTGATCTTGGCATATTTTTTACATCTCATTTTCATTTGCAAGTGTGGCCACCATGATAGCTCAATGCCATTCTTCCAATTCTTGTTTAGTTTGTAAATTCCTATCATTATTCAAAATGTCTCTGTATATCACAAGTTTCTCATAGTTGGTTAAATTTGGGTGCACAAACGCTTCCATTGTTGAGATCCATCCTGGCATTTTCATATAAATTTTCATTTTTATCTTTTCCCATGTCAGAAGTAAGGCATTTCTTATGTAGTGAGCTTTACTCTCTTGATGATATTGTATACTTTTGTTTGTTCTCTAATCCATGTCTTGTAATGCTGGCATGTATCTTTCCATGGCTCTTTGCACCTCTCATAGCTTTTGTATTAAATATATATACTTATTTAGATGTAATTCTCCTGAAGTTAAAGGAGGTTGATTTCTGAACACATAAATAGTGCACTTTGGCTAGTATGCAGCATCAACACCTAAGCCTAACAAGGGTTTTGAATTGCATATTATACAAGTTTGTTGGTCTTTGTCTTTTTCCTGGCATAAAAGCCTATTCTGTTATTGTTTGGAAACAAATTCCTCCTTGATAGGACCATATTAAAAATTCCATTGGAAATAAGTAATATTTAAAAAAAAACGAGGCACACATGGATTTAATTTTTCAAATAAATAAAATCTGGAAGGATTAAGCCTCCTAGTTCCATGCAGAGTACATTGGACTATCATGCATTTCAGGTAGAGTAAGTAAAATATGAAAGTAGAAGTTTACATAACATTTAATTTAGCCTTCTGTTCTTTGAATCTTGTTGATTATGTCTGTGTGTGTCAAAAATCTCAGACAGAACTTTGCACTCTTCCAATACATTAGCAAATTTAGTTCCAAGCTCACCTTGGAAAATGCAACATAGCCATGAGACTATAACACGTGACGTTGTGCGACGTATCATGACTTTTTCCCCATTGCCGGCAATGGGCACGGTTTTGGCGTGATGCATCCGGCCCGCAGGCCGGCAGTTTGACATGACTATAACACAAACCTGGGCTTATGGCCCCAAAGCCACAGTCAGTGTGAAATGTTATCGGGTGGGAAGCATGCAGCTATAAATACGAGGGCAATTCGGAAATAAACCTCCATTTGGTTATCAATGACAGACACTTGCAGATACAGAACTTTTGTTATACACATAGAAAATTACAACATTGCATTACTTTTTGACAATCACCATTCAAATTGAGGCACTTGTTGGAAGTCAGCATGCCCCGACACTTGTTATGGATGCCTCATCTGAGTTTTCGTAACGTTTCACAGTAGACTTCTGAATTGACGGTCGAACCACGCTCCATGAACTTCACTAGCAGTACTCCTTTGGCATCTTCACATTTGGTGGGATTTTCTATGGCACCCCTTCGGGTGTGGTGTTGGTTCACAATAATGCTCGCCCACACACCGCTAGACGCACCCAAGAACTTTTGAAGCAGCTCCATTGGGATGTTTTTGATCACTTCCCCTATAGCCCAGATTTGGCGCTGAGCGACTACTAAGGAATTTCAAACCTTGTAAGATGTTATGACAAGTGCCTCAATCTGGATGGCAATTATGTTGAAAAGTAATGTAATGTTGTAGTTTTCTAATGTGTATAATAAAAAGTTCTGTATCTGCGAGTGTCTATCACTGATAACCAAATGGAGGTTTATTTCCGAATGGCCCTCATATGTAAAGCTGCCTTTCTGAATGTGAGTTTGCTGCCTGCCTGAAAGAATATTTCCTCTAATGATATGCAGGTCTTTTCTAGTTTTCAATGCTATCTGAAATGACATTTAGAGACAAATTTAACTGGTAGCAGCAATAGCAGGGCATAAATAAAAAGTTCAGTAATAATCAGGTACTTAAAATACGCATCAGACACAAATACATGAAAATGAAATGTAAAAATAGTGATTTTATGAAATATAAATCAGTTTTGGAATTTTAACATTTTTGAAATATGTTCAAACAAGCCCACATAGAAAAAGTTAGAGGCAACTTTGTCTTTTCACACAGTGATACTCAAAACTCAGCTGTACAGCTAATAGGGTTAGCCTCACTGTATTTCACCTCTGAAATTTTTCTGCTCACTTATGGCTCATTCTACATTCAAATTCGACACTTTCCCCATTTTGTGATTTTAAAAATAGAACTATCTCTCTAACTTGCTTCCCATACATTAAATAAATGTTAGCTCTTTTTTCCTATTCCTAATCTACTGAACTGCTGCTTAGTTACTTCAGGAAATGCCAGCAGGCTGGAAGCAAAACACTTCACTTTGGGGGCCTGGTATTCTTCCTTCCTCATCACTCTTATATTTAGGTTCCTCCAAAACAAGAGGTTTGTAGGCAGGGAATCAAGGTGACTTGTGTTTCTTCCATCTATTTTATATTACAATACTATAAAGCTGAGCTGAGACATTATTTGTTGTACACTGGACAGAGCTTTAGATTCCCAATTATTATACCAATTCCCCCCCCCCCAAAGTAGATTGTAGAAGAAAAATGGGAGCAAATCAGCAGTGGATTTGCATGCTTAATTGACCGAGTAAGGCCAATCAATTCCTACTGTATCTTTTCCCAACCAGAGTGTCCCAAGATGTATATAAACATTGATGAGGATTGTGAAAGTTGAAGGCTACAGATTTGGAAGATACCCAAGAGAAAAGATTTGACTTAGCATAAGTAACTGAGAAGTATTAGATCTGCTCTTCTGTATCTGACTCTCTTTGGTGAACCTTGGAATCTTACTAAAAAAAAAAGATCTTCACAGTCATGAATTTGCCCAATCTTTTATGTCGTACTAGTCTTAAGCATATAGTACCTCTACTTTCTGATGTGACTGAAAATTAAAGAGGGCCGTACCTGTGGAGAAAATCTTGAAATGAAGAAAAAAGAAGATAATCTATTGCACTGAAATCCTGATCAGTCTCATTCAGATGAAACTGCATGAAGACCAATTCCCGTTTCTTCACATCTTGGGGTCCTTTGACAATCACAGCATGTTTCTACAAGTGCAAGAGCAAGGAGAAAAAAAATGGACATTGCCTTCTATATGGATGTAAATATTAAGATAGTCCTGACCCTAGAATTGATTCACTTACCAACATTTAGAAAAATAATATTCCAAACCATTCCATTGTTTATATTTATTACAACAGGCTAAATCTAAATTTAGGCAAATGATACTGGCAGATAGAGATTTCTGCTCTTGTCTTCCTACCCCATAGTAATTTTCATAATACCTTCTTCCTATATGTAACATGGTCAGCAAACTGAAGAAAGAAAGAAGGCAGTGGAGGCCCTTTCTCTTCCCTGAGTGGTTTTCCCAATAAGATGATTTGCCTTCATTCATTCCAGTATCATCCCTTTCATTTGACATCCATCCTTGATTCTTTGCACAGCATTTGGAAAAAGGTGGTGGTAAAAACTTCTGAGATTGGTACTGATCATTTAAGTTTTCAAAGCACTACACTTCCATTGCTATGGCAAAATGTGGGATTTAAGATAAGCCAACATTATAGACAGGTTCACAAAACATCTGCTCACGCATGGAGGGCATGTATGTGAATTGGCACACCAGCAAGTCTTATTCTACCGAACTTTTATCTTTCTAGACTACATCTATTGTACACATAATAGTTACACAAAACCATATGGTTTCTGCACTGAAGAATCCTTATTTTTTCCAGACACAGCCAGGGAGGCACCAGGTGCTATGGATGCTTTTATGGAAATACTTCTATTGCTGCAGCTGTAAAGCTAAGAAAATGTAAGTCCCAGTTTTCTTACAGCAAATGGCTATCTGCAGTAGTGAGGACTGCTAAGACTGAATTGAGCTATTACTGTAGTACAGATTGCTAAGACTGAAGACTGCCAAGAAGGGATTCAGTTTTTTATTCACTTCTTTAGAAGCCCAGTTTTAATTCCAAAGAGTGTCTTTTAAAACATGTACTAACCAGGTGCCTGCAGGAGATGCCAAGGAGGGCAAATAACAAAGGCGGCAATATATCTTTGTGATACAAGCTCCACAACTTTTGAACATGTGTCTTCACACACACAGGTGGAAATTGTGTCATAATTGTGCTTCTGTCATTTTGATGGAAATGCTGTGTCCTGCACATGCTTTGAATACATACAGACCAATGGGAAAGGACTTTGTTCATCTTAGCCTTATTCACATTACTATACTTAGTATAGCATAATAATGCTATAGCAGTGTTAATGCTGTAGTAGCATAAGTTAATGTTCCAAAGTTGTTTTGCATCAGGAGCATGTTATGCCTGTGTTGAAAAATTGTCAGCTGCTTTCCAAAACCATTTAAAGTGCCGATTTAAGACCTGACATTTTGAGGAATTGATAGGAACCTGTATAGACACTAAAGTCAGCAAGAAAGGCCGTCAAAGATGCCTTTGTGTTCTCCTGCTTTGCTTCTAATTATATGCTCTATGGGTAGGATAGTGCAGTATGAATATCATACTGGCTCCTGCTTTGTGCTGAGGCATCTCCACTATGCACCCAGTGGATTTTATGTTCTCTTTAATTATTACCTTGGTTGCATTAGTAAACGGATCTGTGTAGTTGATTCTCTGGGTAATGCATTCAATTTTCCCTGGCTGGCCTGGGTTGACCAGAGGTGGAATGTAATCATAATAATGATGCTTGCAGGATAGCAGTTCAGCCTTGCCTGGATAGAGGGCAATACCTATTTTTGAAAAACAGTTTTATATTTGAAATCAATGGAACCAGTTCATATGCCATGCCAAGCCCATCACATGCATAACTCTGTAAGCAAACAATATTGCCATTATCCATAATACAAAATGTAATATGGTAATCAAAATGGGGAGACCTTTAAGCTAACCCGGAGGATAATAGTACAAAATCCACTTTTGGTCAAAACATTTGAGAGGGACCATTTAGTTCAATAGCACAGCACAGACTCTTATTTCAGAAAGGTCTAGAGATTAACCACCTGCATTTCTAAAGAAAAGTCTCTATCTAATATGCTATAGAACTACTGATAGTCTCAAGGGGAGATAAATGAATAGCACAACAGTACGAAGCTGTAGTTTAAAAGGCCATTATTTGTCCCATAAGTGAAGATGTGAATCAGTCAAACATATGAGAGGAAACAAAAGGGTGCACTTGACAACACTTTCTGAAGTCAAAATCTGACACTAATGGGACCAGCCCGAGACACAAATCTGCTTTTAGCTATATAGCCCTGTCCGAGATTCTACTACTTAGTCATACTGAAGTGCAACTGACTCTAGTTAAGTTCTCACACTCAAGTGAATAAGGATACCTGCTGGTCTGGTTTGTCCAAAGCATTACATTATACTAAAGATATAACTTCAGCTACGATATCCAGATTATTACGGCTAGTTCAACAAATGATGCAATGCTGGCATGGATGCACCTACAACATGAACATGTACTCATTGTTAATATCCCTTTATGGTGCTTATATGTCAAAGAACTGTATGACTATATTGATCAATTGTGGAAATAAGCACATACACTGAATGGAATATGAATACCCTTAGAATAAAATGGAGTACAATGTTGGAGATGGGCTTTTCAACACAGAGAGAGGAAGAAATATTGTGAATTAACTTGGAGATTACATTACAGAAAGCTAATGAAATGGGATTTCACACCAATTTCTGGAATCTCCTAGTGAGGTAAGAGTGCAAATATTATTAAACAGCCCTCTCCTCTCATACTACATATAAACCCACATACTGGGTTTATACATTGTGCTACACTATGATGTATAATGCCTTTGTGTGGAGTGAATAAATGTCACACTTACAGGAGCTATTTTCTTTATTTGTAATTAATTAAATTAAAATTAAATTAAAAATTAAATTAATTAAATTTAATTCTAATCAAATTAGAATTAAAGAACTCTGAGCGTTGTTCTGATTATCAGAAATGAATGGAGAGGACAGATAATAATGGTAAACCTAAGCTTTCTTCAATTCCTATAGTTTAAGATCCTTATTAAAACAACTCACAAATCTTTACTGATCAAGTGGAAATCCCCAGGTATCTAGCAAATGATCCAGTCACAGCTGCTGCCTACCCCTTTAATACAGGCACATTAAGGACATGGCTTTGGATCCCATCACATCTAATGGCTCCACATCCAACTCAGACTCTTTGCAGATCATTTCATCCAGAGGCCACTCAGTAAAATTAGCACAAGTAATTCTGGAGGCTCCGCTGAGAGGAAGATTGGAACAGTGTTCTCACCTCACAAGAAAACTACATCAAATAAGAATATCCAAACACAAAGCTGATGGAGAAGAATCTTCTTTTCCTTAGCAATCCTGCCCTAGAGCAGATCCTACAGTACATTATAATTCATCTTCCATAAATCTATGGCATTTTATGTGAATTGTTGAAAGAAAGGTGCTATGGCCATAGTTTCATTGCTGTAGCTCCCTAACGTAAACAAATCTTTATTACACATTTCTGCTAAATGGCCTCTGTGCTATTCAGAAGAACAGCTCATGACTACAACATGGCTTTAATCCAGCAACCTTTGGCACAGAAGCTTCTATTAAAGCAGTGGTTCTCAACCTTTTTAATGCTGCGACCCCCAACCGGTCGTAAGTCGAGGACTAAACCGGTCATAAGTCGAGGACTAACGGTTGTAAGTCGAGGACTAAACTGGTCATAAGTTGAGGACTACCCAACCGGTCATAAGTCGAGGATTTTCCCTGCCCGGGAGTGCCACGCATGCGTGGTTTCGCCCCCTGCGCCGGCCGAGGCGTAGCTGGCAAGCGGCAGAGATGGAGCAGGCCGACCACCAGCTGGCCCAGCTCAAGGGAGGTAAGGCACCCGCTGGAAAAGGGGAAAAAAATGGCAGATAGCCTTGCTTGGCGACTCCCGTGAAATGGTCGATCGACCCCAAATGGGGTCGCGACCCATAGGTTGAGAACCGCTGTATCAAAGAATTGTTCCACAGGGAGATAATGTGTACATTAGTCATTTTTCCTCACCGCTGGCTGTCTTGATTATGATTGATGGATTGATTAGATTTCATTAGTTCTGGAAGGTGCATGTTGTCTGTCCCCAAATAAAACAATCTGCATGACCCAAGGAAGGGAAAGGCAATTGTATATGGCTCCCAACCCATTCTACAGCCTCCAGGTTCCCCAACATCACCCTATCAAAATTCTGCAAAATTCCCATTGTGGGTGAGATCATTTCTCCTTCACTCCCCTTAATGAACAAAACCCACAAATAGATATGTGAAGTTTTTGGCAGGTTGAACAAAAGTATTTCAGTTTTAACACATGCTGGAAATTTAAGCATGTTTGACCTCCTAGAAAATGCCATCTTATTGCTCTTATGTTCCCAGGAATTTTTGGAAGCCTTTTTAAAAAAATTAAGTCCAACCTATTGTTAAAAAGTAAAAAAAAAACTGTGATCATGAAATAATTAGGTTGGATTCACACAATAACACTAAGTCACAGTGTAATCTAAGTTTTGGTTTATTTCTAATTGTTGTTATAATCCATCATGTCAATCCTGTCTTCTGGTGACTACAGGAAGACGTCCATGTGGTTTTCTTGGCAACATTTTTTGAAGTGATTCGCTCTCATCTCCTTCCTAAGGCTGAGAAAGAGTGACTGGTCCAAAGTCAGTGCTATTATTATTATTATTATTATTATTATTATTATTATTATTATTATTATTATTATTATTATTATTATTATTATTATTATTATTATTATTATTTATTGAATTTATATACCGCCCTATCTCCCTTACGGGACTCAGGGCGGTGCCACTCCAACAAAGTGGCTCTTTGACTTAAAAAGATGAATAAAATGAGCCATTGTGATTTATAAAACACTGTTTATGTATGAACCAGGCCATTGTGATTTGTTCAAGAAATCTTAATGAAAACCATAGTTTAACACAATGCATGAACCTAGCCAGAGATTTCAGCTATAGAGTACAAAAGTGTAAACTTACATAATATTGCTCTGCTCATTGTTACATGTTCTACCCCAAACTTCTGAATTTCCAAAGCCTTCAACAGAATTTGCAGAGCTACAGCTCCCAGAATTCGTTAGACAAACTTCACCTTTATAAAGATAGCATATGTACTGCACAAGTTTAGATTTAAGTCACCAAGAGTTGCTTTATCGAGGAGATGGGCAGATTTAATAAAGAAAAAACCCCAACTAAATAGCAGTTAAGAAGAATAGCAGTAATGGCAATCCTTTAATTCCAAGAATAACTGCAGATGCTACCTGATTCCCCACAAAATATGCTATCCACCCTCTGGTCTTACCAGGAGCATCGTAAGAGGGCACTTCCTTGAGTGAGACGGACATCACTGGATGCTTGAGTTTTTCCCTAAAGTCAGCAATGGTTTGATAAGCCAAAAAAATGGCCACTGCCATGAGCACCAAATATATGAAGAGAAGTATTACAGAGAAGACATTTTTCAGGCAGGACTTGCTGAAACGCACTGAAGGGCTGCTACCATCTAGGACTAAAGATAATATTAATTTGAAAATGCAGTTATTTATTTATTTAGCATATGACATACAATGTCAGGAAAATCTATAAATGCTAGACACAATGCAGTCCTGACAGCCTAAATTGCTAGTTCATTGCATGCCTACCCTTGGTGCACTGCAGGTGGTGAACTAGCTTCAACTGACTAGCGTCGCTCAGGTTGCTGGCTCTTCTAGGCCAGGGCTTTTCAACCAGTGGTACGGGTACCACCTGTGGTACATTGGCACCTGGCAGGTGGTACACGACCATCCTAGAAAAGTCGTAGTGGGGGAGGGGAATGAGCTGAATCGGTGGCAGCACGGCTGGAGCTGCAGGGTTGTCAGAGCTCAGCGGAAGCGCCAGGATCAGCGTCAGTCTCCAGCTGGAGCTCGGCTGATCCTGATGCTTCTGCTGAGCCCAGAAGAAGCGCCGATCAGCTGGAATGTTGCAGCATCTCCAGGGTCTTGTGATTTATATTCAGATGTTGGCAATTGATTCATATTTATGACGGTCACAGTGTCCCAGGGTCTTGTGAAGTGAACAAAACCTGCTGCAACCACCCAGCAGATGGTGGGAATAAAAACCAAACACCCCCCCCCACCGCCAATCCTTAACAGAAACGCTCACAACAATGAAAACCTTGGACAGGAGGAAGAGTGCGGCCGGGCGGGCAGGCAGGTGTCTTGCTCAGCTGTGGCTTGGGGGACACTTTTTCAGTGCCATTGTAACTTCGAACAGTCACTAAGCGAACTGTCGAGGACTACCTGTACTTTATCACTTTTTTCCTTTTTTGGGGGGGTCATCAAGTTTTTGACACCTTGCTAGGCGACTGAGGGTACTCAGATGTTGCTATATCCTAAAAGTGGTACAATGGGTGAAAAGGTTGAAAAGCCCTGTTCTAGGCTCCTCCAGTCTCGCCTTGCCTACTGCCTCATGTTGCGCTGTCTTACATCTGGCCAGGTCCAGCACCGGCTTCCGTTCTCCGCGCACACAAATGCAGCTAGGTTTTTCCCACCGAAGTGGTACCCATTTATCTACTTGCAATATTGCATGCTTTCAAACTGCTGGGGGTAAGCAGGAGCTGGGGAGCGAGCAGTGGGAGCTCACCCTGTTCTCACGGAGCCAGGCTCGAACCACCAGCATGCAGACCCTTTCTGGTCCACAGTTCCAGCATCATTAAGCCATTATGCCACTGCAGTACCTAATGGACTATAGTTGCCTCTTGCGAAAGAGGCCAGATTCAAAACTCTGAATCTGATGGAGAGTATTTGGAAAGTCAGATCCAATTTTCTTCTTGCGTAGAAAGAATGTAGAAGAAAATCAAACAATTATTTTGCTTTTGAAGCAGCATTTTTTCAGCATCCAAGGCCACAGGAAACATGTCATTCCTGCAATTATTTCATTAGAGATGGTGGGGCTAGAAATTTCAGACCTTCAAAAAGAGACTTTTTAAAATATTGGGTTGCTGTTATTTTTAAAACAATAAACCTGTCCAAAACTTATTTCTTTAAATCTGTGAAAAACTATGCCCTCGCATGCTGAAAAAAGGGATGTGGGGTAGAGGTGAATGACATTTGTTATGCAACAACTTTGGATTAAATTCCAAAAGGTGTTTCTGAGCATGTAGAGAGTATGAATTGTTATATAAGGTCTCTATAACAATTTAAAGTAGCTACATGTTTTCATGGGGTACCATTACTGCCATATGATTCTAGAATGCAGCTGTTTAAATAGTTGCTAACAGCTACTCTAGTTGGGCCTTCAAAAGATCCAAAACATTATATAATCCTATTGTCTACCATTGATGTAGTGATCAGCTTTCTCCACATTTTATTTGAGTGTCTAAGTACAGTATTCCTGGTGTGTGTGCTACCACAGACAGAATATTCATTGTAAAGGAAACCCTTCCCTCACCTTCTAGCTTATATGCCTTATATCTGTCTTTCACAAATAGCAACTCTCTCTTGATACTTTGGAGAGATATTATTGCTTTGAATATTACTTGTCAATCGGTAACAATATCCAACAAGAGCTTAGGATGCTCCATTGTGAATTATTCAGTTTGACAAGATCAGAAGGCCTCACCTGGAAGGATTGTTGAACTGGTATCTTCCTGATCCTCTTCATCTAAGAGTTCATCTGTTGGTTCAGCATTTGCAGGTGCACACTCCATATCTTCATTTAGCTGCAAACAGAATTACTGCTGTTCAGTAGTATGCTGTAATATTACTGGGCTGTAGTTGGCATATTACTGGGCTCAAATGTAAATATTAGCTACCTCAGTAGACCATTCTTATTCTAACCACTTCATATCTTACAGACCCTCTATTATGGCTGTTCTATACATGCTTAAAGCATGCAGGAAGCACGCATTACAGCTTGTTGAAACTAAGAAAACATGGGATGGTGATCTTGGGTTCTATGATGGATTAACACTGACCCCTGTGAAAAAAACCCAAAAGTTTCTGTTTGACTCTTAGGAAGTGCTATCTTACTAAACACACACCACTTTAACCACAATTGTGAAGAGGCACAGTTAGGAAATAATTCAAATTCCCACTGAACTACAGAGTTATCGGGGTAACTTTGGCCCAGTTACTCTCTCATCATGCCACTGCTTTTATATTTCATTTCAAATGACCACAATAAACAAATGGCCAAACACTTTTTCTTGCATAAATATAGGCTAGATGCGTTCTTGCTCTGTTCCTTAAAGCTAATGGTTCAAACTGTCAGGATGATTTTTGTCAATGTCTCAAGCTTGTCATATCTGACAATCCCTGCACACTGCGCAGCAATCTCAAGAACTGGGTGAAAATAAAGGAAGTCATCTCAGAAAAAAATCTAGCTTTCCTTTGTTTCTTGTCTCTCTCCATTTCTAAAACAAGCAACTGAATCATAATGTAGTATTTTTTCTCCCATTCCCCACTGAAAAATCGGGCCATTTTTTAAATGTTACTTTTTCAAATGTTTTTTTTTAATTGAAAATTTTATAAAAGTTTTACAATATAATTCCCCCCCGCCCCAGAACCCACCCTTCCCCTCCCCCTCCCTCCCCCCCCACTTCCCAGAGCCAATCACAGGGTTAACAATACATTAACCATACTCTAACATTAATCAACTATTAGATTAACAAATCTATAACATCCTTTAACGCTCTTTTAAACAAATATACTAATATTAAACACAATAATTATAACAACATATTGATAATTATAAATAAAAATAAGTAACTTATTATAACATATAAACTACATTAATACTCTAGAATTTACTCAAAAACCAAATGAAATTTTTTTGTACCATATTTACTCTCAATATAATCTATCCATCTTCTCCAAACCAAAATATATCTTTCTTGTGAGTAATCCTTCACATAAGCGGAAATCTTGGCCATTTCTGCTAAATTTGAGACTTTAAGTGACCATTCTTCTATAGTGGGCAAACGTTCCATTTTCCAACATTGAGCTATTAGTAATCTTGCAGCAGTTATCAAATTCAACATCAAATCCATTTCTTTTGTATCCAAATCTTCCATAATACCCAGCAAAAATATCTGCAGCTTAAACTTTATCTTTTTCTTAAAAATATTTTGAATATTCCACCATATCTTAATCCAAAATGCCTTTACCTCCCTGCATGTCCACCACATATGAAAATAGGTTGCATCTAAGTTTCCACATCTCCAACACTTAGGTTTTAAAAAGGCCTTTTCCAGGCCCTCTTGCTACCACATTTCAACTTGATTTTCAGTGAGACAGGAATAGGAGATTGCTACACGGATGAGCCTCACTCCAGAGCAAGAGGCGCTGAACTCCAACAAATGCCCCACAAAGATTTCATTTCTTTTTCCAGGCTGCTTGCTGGGATTGTATTACTTCTGAAGGTTTGTGTCTTGTTCAGGTGAAAACAGGGATTCTGCTGATGTCGCAATTGTTAGGCTTCCCAATCAGGGCTTGACAGTAAATCACTTCTTACCAGCATTTTATCATTCAGCTCATCACCTTGACTTGAGTTGGCAGAAGCCTCGTAGACACAGAGGCATCAAGGCATAAACATATCTAAGAATCTGATGGATTTTATAGTTTCTGGGGCCATAACTAGACTGTTTTAGGAACTGTCCATGAGACTGGCCATACCTTCATCTGGCATTTGCCTTGAAGTGGAGAAGTTGATATATAGGAATCCCAGAAGTGATGCCTTGTCATGAATCGTTCTGTATCTAGTCAAATAGATGTATATCACAGCATGGTCTCCTCTCTGAAGACAGAGTTCAGAGTTCCCTCCACCTCCAGAAGTTAATGATCTAACTCAGGGGTAGTCAACCTAGGCTCTTTTATGACTCGTGGACTTCAACCCCCAGAATTCCTGAGCCAGCACAGCTGGCTCAGGAATTCTGGGAGTTGAAGTCCACGAGTCATAAAAGAGCCAAGGTTGACTACCCCTGAACTGGTTTTGAAGTAGCTCTGGGGAATGTTTCTCATATCTGACCAACCACTCTAGTAACAATTTAGTTAAGTGTTCCAGATATTGCATTTGATTCTGTCCTGTTTCTGAGACAAAAATGCCTCAAGGTATATGGAGTACATGTGGGAAAAGGAGCACAAAGGCCAGCAGCTTAAACAACAATAATACAATTTTGAAATGGATACAGCTGAACATAGCATAAGCACCATTACAAAGTATGTGGAGAAGTCATCAGAGAGGAAAAGAAGTAAAATATGTAATCCCATGCGCACAGAATTGGCCAGTGGAACTCTTAAGAGCTGCCAGGTAGAAGATGTAGCTTTTGTTGCTGGTAATGTCCTAGTATTGTTTTATGAAGAATTCCCATGGTTCTTCATGAATAATAATAAACCCATACTGGGCTTAATAATGCCTAAAATGTGCAACACCAAAATTTATGTGTATGTATTTATTTTATTTTATTAAGAGTATCTGATAGATAAGAATGTAAAAAGAATGTATGTTAACACGTGATAAATATCGCGGTATATGTATGGGGGAGAGTTGGGAAAAAATAAAAAAGTTTAAATAAAAAAAATAATGTCTAAAATATGCAACGTAACATCTAATAAGATCTGTGAGAACCTGTTCCACTGCTGATTTGTAGAGGAAATGACCAAAGTTCTTCAATTTATTCACACTGCAATTTGCTTGTTAGATTCCCTCTATAGCTGACCAATGATCTCTTAGATAAGATCCCTCTACAACAGTGTTTCTCAACCTTGACAATTTTAAGGCATGTGGACTTCAACTCCCAGAATTCCACAGCCAGCAATGCTAGCTGTGGAATTCTGGGAGTTGAAGTCCACATGCCTTAAAATTGTCAAGGTTGAGAAACACTGCTCTACAACAGAAGAGTTCCTCCTTCCTTAAAAGAGAAGATGGTGAAGACTTTGCTTAAGAAACTACCTCCAAACTGGATTGATTTTAATGACTATAAATATTCCTGGCTTGTCTAATATTCTATATTTAAGCAAGCCAGTAAAAAAATCAGTGGTCCTTTTGAAGATATGGATTAGCTAGATCCTTTCCAGTCTCTCTTCAGACCTAGATCTGGCACAGAGATGGTTTCCATTATTTTGATGGGTGATCCTTATGAGAGACAGATATGGCAGTATGCTTCTATTGATACTCTCTCAGTGGCTTCTGATATTATTGATCATCATATCCTTTCGGAACCTCTGTGGGAGCTGTAAGCCAGAGATCCCAGCTTTCTGATGCTTTTACTCTTGTCTCTCTAGGTCAGTGGTTCTCAACCTTTTTAATGCCGCGACCCCAACCGGTCGTAAGTCGAGGACTAAACCGGTCGTAAGTCGAGGACTAAACCGGTCGTAAGTCGAGGACTAAACTGGTCGTAAGTCGAGGACTACCCAACCGGTCGTAAGTCGAGGACTTTCCCTGCCCGGGAGCGCTGCGCATGCATGGTTCCGCCCCCTGCGCCGGCTGAGGCGTAGCTGGCAAGCGGCAGAGACGGAGCAGGCCTACCACCAGCTGGCCCAGCCCAAGGGAGGTAAGGCACCCGCCGGAAAAGGGGGGAAAAATGGCGGACAAAAAAAATGGCGGACAGCCTTGCTTGGCGACCCCCATGAAATGGTCGATCGACCCCAAATGGGGTCCCGACCCAGAGGTTGAGAACCACTGCTCTAGGTATTTCTAGAAGGTGGCATTGGAACAGTCCCAAGATTTTATCTTGTTTCCAGTAACTGTATGAAGTTATTTGGAAGGATTTAGTACCAGTTGCAACTAGCATGTTGAAGATTCCCAGCTATAGTACATTTTTTCTACAAACTCAATATTGATGTTTGAGCACCTTTATACAATATCAGATAAAAGGGACTGAATAGGGGAGAAACAGAATTCAGTCAAGACAAGTTGTTGCTGATTCCTGAAATGGATTTCAAGTTTTAAGTGAAATGCCTCTTCTGGATGGAGCACACTCCCCCTATGGAACAGGTTTGCCATTTGGGAATCATCTTTTATCCAACTTTGATTTATGTAACATTTGCATAATGTTGGAGGCCCTACATTGATAACCCATGCACTGGTAGCTCAAGGTTGGATTATTACAATGAGCTTTTTATGTCTCCCTCTGTAAGACAGTTCAGAAATTGTAGCTGGTCCAGAATGCAACAGCATATATGTGACCTTGCTTGTTGCTTGTTGAATTCCAACGCAAGATTATCATTTTGCTATATAAAATTTGACATGATTTAAATCCAGATGGTTAGGCACAGCCCTTTTTTTTGCAGATCTTGCTAAATCAACATGGTAGAACAATCTGCCCTTAGAACTGCAACAGAGTGCCTACTTATAACAGCTTATGAAGAGTAATAACACTGATCTCCAATGAGTGGACCATAAATTTAACATTAATAATAAATAAATCTTCTAACTAAGGCCTTTTAGATGTGCAGAATCATTTTATGCTGTTGGTCATACTGAATGGCAGTTAATTAAAACAAAAAAGAATAAGTTGCCTAGAATTATTGGAGAGAGCAATATCTACTGTATATTTATATGTTTAAATCATTGCCATGAGTTATGGCCCACACAACCATTAACATATTGCTCAGTACTGCTTCAATATATGAGCAATCTTTGTATCCAGCATATTATTCATTCTATTCCATTTCCCTTCACTATCATCCTTCTGTTTTTCCCTCCTAACCTCCTTGCGAG